GGCTGCAGCTGGTTGCAGGGGCTCTGGGGCTCGGAGCCGGCGTCCTCGATCACAGCGGTCTGCGAGTCGCAGTGGGGCGAGCTCACCTTGAACATGAGGTCGGTGCCGCGCTCCACGATGTGCTGGATCTGCAGGAAGCCGGCCGTGTACATGACCACGAGCTGCTCGCTGGCCGTCATGGTGAGCCTGCCCGTGTAGCAGAAGGACAGGATCTGCTGGAAGCAGGCGGGCGGCACCGAGCCGGGCAGCTCGAAGGCGTTCTTGCTGTTGCCGCTGAACAGGTCGCGGAAGTAGAGGCTGCTGGCGGCCAGCACCGCCCGGTGGGCCTTGAAGGCCTGGCCCTTGACCACGATGGACACATCGCAGTAGAGGCCCAGCAGGCGCTGCTCGTTCAGGCAGCCCAGCACTGTGTTCCCGAAGTTGGGGATCTCGATGTGCAGCATCTGAGACATGGCGGGCGGGCAGCGGCGGGGCTGGGCTCTCAGCGCGGGGCGGCCCTAGAGGGGCTCATCTGTGGGGGCAGGAGGCACGTGGTCAGTTCCTCCAGGTCCAAGGCTCCCCGCTCAAGGGGCCATTCCCACACCCGCCCCCTCCTGCCCCGGGCTTACAAAGAGCGAGCCTTCCCCACGCACCCTTCCCCACGCACCCTTCCCCACCCCTCCCGGCTGGGACACTCCAGAGAAGCGACTCGGGGTCTCCCAGACGCCCTGGCAGAGGAGCAAGAGGGACCGGCCAGCACCGCTGCAGACCCCCGGGGCGCTGCCCGGCAGGAGTGCGGCCCCACCACTCCCAGGGGGCCGCTCTTAGCGACTCGGTCTCAGCAGGCAGGAGGAGCGCAGGCCTGAACCTGCCCCGGGACAGGAGGGGGGGATGTCGGGGAAGACGGGGGCGCCTCTGGGCAGGTCTGCAGCCACGATCCTTCCCTCAAAAAAGTTCCAGCCCGCACAGGAGCTCCCGGGAGGGGCCGCGCCGGAGCCGTGGGGAAGGAGGGAAGGAAGGAGGGAGGGGGTCTTTGGAGCTGTGCAGTTTGCGGTTTGCTTTTTCTCTCTTCCCTCTGAGCAGCCTCACAGAGGGCCCCTGGGGGGAAGGCGGGCCAGTGTCCCCTCGTCCCCCTGAGCCTCCCGGGCAGGTGGGGAGGGGCTGGTGGTGCCGGGAAGTCCGCTGAAGCCGCGTCCACTCCTCCCCCAGCAGAGAGACCACCCTGGGTGCGCCCGCTCCGTTCTCCGGTGTTCTCCCGGCTCGGACCAGACCCAGGTTCCCAAGCCGCCGCCAGAGCAGGAGTTGGGAAGCCCGTCGCAACCCCACTCGCGGACGCCCCCCACCCCGCTCGCCTCGCTCCCCTCGCGGGCCAATCCCGACGGCCCGGCCCCAACCCAGGTGACTACAGGGGTCCCAGCCCTCGCTGGGCTGCCCGGACCCCGGGGCTGGGAGCTGGGGAGGGCGCCGCTGTTTATCTGGTGCGCACTCCGGAGGGGGGCGGGGGCGGCCCAGAAGGCGCCGGCCCAACTCCGCAGGGCCGCACAAAGGCCGCTGTGTCCCGCGGGAGGAAAGTGCGGGCGGCCGCAGAGGCGCCGGGCGGCGGGAGGAGGGCGGAGCCACTGCGCCTGGAGCTGGGCAGGTGGACGCGCGCCGGGGGCGGCCCGCAGTGCCCCCGCTGCGGAGAAGTTGCCGGCCGGTCGGGAAGACCTACCTTCCGCCGCTGCGGCCGCCGGCCGGCACTGCCCGCTCCGCCTGGCAGGACAGGCTTCCCGCACGCAGCCCGCCTGCCCAGCTGCTCCGCGAATGCAGCAAACGGAGCGGGAGCCCTGGGGCGGGGAGGGCGCAGGGAGCCGGCAAGGAGGAGGAGGAGGAGGAGATGGTGGAGGAGGAGGAGGAGGAGAAGGAGGAGGAGGGCAGAGCGCCTGGGCGCTGGGCTCGCGGCCGCAGCTCAGCTGCACCCAGGCCGGCCCTCCCGGGCAGCGCACCGCATCTCAATGAAGGGGCCGGATGCAGACGAACGTTCCGGCGGCTCGGGAATGAATAGCCGCCTTTGATTTGGGAGCCGAAGTAAATGCCAGCTCCCAGCCCCGGCTTTAAAAACAGTGGAGTGTTGGTGCCAGAGGAATGCGCGGCCCCGGGTGCTGGTACGAGACAGACTTTTGATGACTCACTGCAATGCAAACAAAGATGGCAGAAATACTGTACAGTAGTGGAGAAATGCTTCCCGGTGCCACGGCAACTGAGACAGCCTGGAAATTTATGGTGCAGTTTTGCATATGAATTACCCAGTAAACTGCCTCCCGGCCTTCCAGGACAGCCCCAGTGTCAAAGCATTTAAACTATTCCAAACAGTCTGCAGAGCTGGCAGAGCTGAACTCCTCCACCGCGGGCGGGGAATGGGCAGAGGCGCTGGGGGAGGGGGGCAAGGGGTCAGGACAGATAGGGGAGCCAGGGAAGGGGAGGGGAGGTACAGCAGAGGGTGAAGAGAGGCACAGAAACGGCAGGCAGCGGGTGGGCGAGGCAGCACCCCAGGTCCTGGCGGCCTCAGAGCTGTGTCCTCTGCCCAGGCGGCAGGCCCGGGAGTCCAGCCCCAGCACCCCTCCCCATCCCACTCCCAGCGCCCTCCTGGCACTTTAAGAAAAGAGCGACTTTGTGGCCGGGCAACCAGGAGCCGGAAGGGGCAGCCCCGCCGGAGAGGTCCCAGCAGAGGGCAAGGCGGCCGCCCCACTCCTCCCGCACACTCCGGGCTGCGGCCACACAGGCTCCCGGCGGACCTACTTCTCAGCTGACATCAGCTGCACCTCCTGCCCAAGGGGTCCACAGCGTCTGACCGTTATTGAGCCTTTTCCTGGGAAAGGGCTGCTGTGCAGGACTTGTGGTGGCCCCGGGGCGCCTCAGAGAATGTGCACTTCCTCCTGGGCTCACACCACGCTGGCTGCGTGGGGCCCTGAGGCCGACCTCTGGATTGCGCAGCCTCAGTTTCCCTGCCACCGGCGGTGACCCCCAGGAAGAGAACATTCCACCCAAAAGAAGGGTCCAGGCTCGAGGCCGTTGAGGTGAGCCCCCTCCTGCCTGGCCAGCTACCTCCACCGCTGTAACCCTGGTAGCAGGATGCGGAGGCGGCCCGCACAGGCCTGGTGGGAGGCAAGGAGACAGCGCCCTGCCCCTCACTCCCGGCGTCCCTCTGAGGCATCCGGAGACCAGAGAGAGGGCCATCTGGTTCCTCCCTAGTCACACACTGTGGGTTCAGTTTCTCCAGACCAGACAAAAAGCCGCTGAATGGGGATGGGAAGAGATCCAGGTGCGGGGAAGCTGCCGGCAAAGGCCCGTGGAGGTGGCTTCGTGCCTAGTGTTTTCTGCCTCCTACGAGGGGCTGGTGACGACTCCGGGAGACTGGGATGGGGGCGTTTACAGAAACATCCCCACTTGGCCACACAGAAGAGCTGGGCTCCCCGGGGCCAGGAGATGCAGGGCCCAGCTGTCACCCTCCCCGCCACACCCTCCACCCTCAGGTCCCCACTTAGTTGCCGCCGCCTCCAGGAAGTCTGCCAAGTGCCCTCAGAAGCTCGGCAAGGGCTGAATGCTGGACACAGCCCGGGCAGGGAGGTGCAAGAGAGGGGCCTGTGCAACACAGCAACACAGCACAGAGGGCAGAGGCCCCTAAACAGCTCCCTTCACAGACCCACTGCGCCCACCCTGTCTCTTATACACATCTAGATGTGTATAAGAGACAGGTGTAGGCTCTCAGCCTGGCCCTTCCAGCAGCAAGAGGGTCCTGGCCTGTTGGCCAGGTTGAAATCCTAGGTCCCGTGGGCACCAGCCACTTCCTGTAAGGACGCCGCAGCCTCAGATGCTGAGCTGTGAACTGGGGTTATAATTTACCCTCAGATGGTTCCTGGGGGTGAATGGAACAATGTTTGTGAAGCCCGCGGCTGGAGCCTCGCACACAGTAAGCCGGTGATGCCTGCGACCTGCTGTGACCTGGGCAGGAGAGCAGCTCTCAGCTGGGCATCCAGGTGGGCGTCTTAGCGCCCTGCCCAGTTCGGCCTGCATCCACACCTCAGGAGCGGGAGCCCCAGGGCTGGGGGCCAGACCAGCTCTCCCAGAGAAGGGACCATTATTCCCTTTGAAGGTGATGGGGCCGTGTGGTCCCTGGGGATCGAGGACAACTGGAGCTCTTGCTGGGTTGTCCTCAGGCCACCTGCCTGGTGAGGCTGCAGCCCCACGGCCCAGCCTGCTGAGAGCCGGACAGGAGCTGGTTTTAGGTTACTTTCTTGGAAGGCTCAAGAACAAAGCTGAACTTTAGGAGAAAAGAATAAAATAAAGGCTTGGCTCACGCCCCCAGGGCCAGGAAAGCGGACACGCAGGGGCTGACCCTCCTACTGCCAGAGAGGAGGGGGCCAAGGGCCCAGGTGGGCCCAGGGACACGAGCAGGGCTGTCTGCTGAGGAGGGCAGACACCAGGGCCTCTCCACCCTCCCCTGCAGATTCTCTGGTGACTCAGTTTCCCCACCACCTTGCTTCCCAAGCCCATACCTCCTATTGTTTCCCCTCCTCGGTGAGATTCACCACACTCATTCACTTACAGAGAGTTCTACAGAGCCAGGCAGAAAATCAGAGGTCGCCAACTTTGTTTACCCCGGCCATCCTCAGGATTGTGGCACCAACGACCCTTGCTCTCAAAATGCCCTTCATCAGAACGGAACCCACTTTGGAAAACCTCTGTAGATGACCCAAGGCCCGAGTCCAGTCCCTGCAGCTGTGCCAGCCTTGGGTGCCCCACCCCACACAGACACACAGAGAGGAGGCTGGGTTCCTCTGAGCCCACAAGCCTCCCTGAGGAATAAGAAAATACGGGTAGCTGCGGCAGGGACGGGCGGGAGGTCTCTTCTCTGCAGAGCCTCACTTGAGGAAGGCTGAGATTCAGGCCAGGCTTGCCCTGGGGTTAGGGGTTACCGACCGTGATGAGCCTCATGCCCAGCAACCTGCCGGTGGGTGAGAGGAGCCCACGGGGAGGACAGGGGCTCACTGGAACTAAAGCCTGATGCACACACAGGGGTTGGGGCAGCGTCTCCAGAATGACCCCCCTGCCTGAGTGTCGTCCTGGCAGGATTCACACAAGAACACAGGTTACCAGGTTGGTGCCAGGCCAGGGCACCTGGGTCCTGGCATCTAGTGCCCAGCAGCAGAGGCTCCAGCAGGTAGAAGACCCCTGAAAGCATCCCCCAGGCCAGAGGACAGGGACAGGGACCAATCAGGCAGCCCAACAGGAGGAGCCCCTTTCCGGGGGCCCAGCCAGGCAGCTCCATGGTCTGAGGGCCTCGCCCAGAGTCCCCAGAAACCCTGCCCCCTCCACCTCCAGCTTGTAAAGCACTTCCTAAGCCCAGCACAGTAAACTAGAGGAATGCAGCACTGAATTTCTGCAGGATCACTACAAGCAAGGGGAAGGGAGGCGAGAGAAATTAAATTAAATTAAATTATCTTGCAGGATTTAATTTCACCAATCTAATAAGAGGTTCTGGACCTCGGCAAATGC